CGACACAAATGTTTCGGAAAATTCAATGGTATCGCTTTATATTATTATTATTATCGTTATGAAGGAAAGAGAAAGGAAATGGATCGCCAATAAATGTCTCATCCGTGCGACATTAATTTCTTTGTACTGTTCTTTTCTCAAGAAAGCAAATTCTTTCACGAAAAATAAAATAAAAAAATGGAACGATTATCTCAATGATGCGAATGCCTCTTTGGGAATGATTGATTGTATGAAATTGTTCGAAAGCTTCCATGAATATTGCATGAGGGCTGACAATTCTGTGAAATGAATGAAGTCGACGGACGCGGAAAATATACATTCCATCGCGTACTTCCGCGAATTCCGCGGAATGCAGGAAATTCCTTTGAAGAGAATTTATTGGCAAAATATAATTTACATCTAATTTAAATATAGCAAGATCTTTTTACTACTGTAATATATATTAGACTACTAATTAAATTTTGATTTGTGTGTATCTCTGTTCTTGAATATTACAATTTCAAATTTATTTGACAAGTTTTGCGTTACAATTATTCTTCTAATTTTTTCTTTTTTTTCTCTAATTTTAGTGGAACTTGAACAAAAGTTGTTTTTTTTAATCCAGCTATTTATTTTATTCGTTTAGATTCCAAGATACATAATTACTTTGCACGAGTTATTGGCACATACGCCATATGATCATGTGGAACGTAAGAGCCTTCAGAATGCCAGGCAACAGCTGGAGGATCTCTCGAGGCAAATGCATGATGAGGTATTTTGTTAATTTATTTCATATAAGCATCATATTTTATTTTGACTTTAAATATTAATCAAATATATTTACTTAATATATTAATCGATTATATCCTATTTTTTAGGTGAGCGAAACTGAAAATCTAAGAAAAAATCTAGCAGTGGAGCGTATGATTGTCGAGGGATGCGATATTTTACTGGACGTCAATCAAGTCTTTGTTAGACAGGGTGAGTGCATCAATACTCTCTTTCGTAATTTTGTTTAAATATACTTTGGGTTCGTATCTTTTTAAGTAAAGCTTATTTTAAGTACACATTCAGATATCACAATTACATTCTAGAAATGTTCTAATGAATATTTTCTGGGAACTTTGAAATATTTTCGAAAGATTTGAATAAAGTGTAAGGGATGTTTTAAGAATATTTCTAATATTTTCGATTATAACTATTTTTATAATTTTAAAAAAATTGATAAAATTTCTATCAAATTATTATTATAGATGAGGGGGATATTCTGAGAATACTTTTATAATAACTTTCATATAAAATATGATAGATATTTTATAATAACTTTTTTATATAATTACAAAAAGAGTCAATTAAACACGCTACAAATATTCGTAGAACGCCTCTTACACTTATCCATATCTTTTGAGAATATATCAAATTCCTGGAAAATATTTGTAGAACGTTTTTGGAATGTAATTATGCTATCTGGATAAAAATATTTAAATACTGTGTAATTAAAATGTCGTAATAGATTCACGTAAAAGTTAAAATTATTTTACGTTCTAGCGATAACACGTATTATCGTTTTTCATTCTAATCATCTTTAAATAGAATTTAACAAATTATAATCACAATTCAGAAATTGTATTTCGTTTATATACAAAAGATAATAAAATGAATCGAAAATAATTGAAAAATGATTTTTAATGATTATTTTAGAATCATTTTGATATCATTTTTTAATATCATAATGACTTGTTATTCGGTTTGAGAATTAACGTACTTTGTCGAGGTCGATAAGACTGAGGCTGTCAGTAATTCGCATATCTTTTACTGTTTATCTTTGGCTGAGAAACTCATTTCTAGACTTGATCGCTGTCGGTAAAGCTCGACGGACTTCTCCATCGAAAGGGATGGAACGCGGGTTAAAGGGCGCAATCGCATAGTTACACGTTCGAAATCGATGACGCGACTTAGTCGCGTCGATATATATTTTCATATTCGGTTTTATCTCGATCCTGCGCAATGTGTCCTGCCAGGGGCGACGTACTATTCTACTATTAGCGGGTTCTCAACAGGTGAATAATTCTTTTGTTAATCGATTACATGACTCGATAGCAAATTACGAGATAGTGGCACGCAAGCGGAATGCCATACGTTAGAGAAATTGTAACTTTATCAATTGTTTTAAATTCGATCGCAATAAAAAAATTCTTTTAACATTTAATTGCGATTTTAAGTATTAAAGAATATTTAAAATTTAATTTTATTATTCAATTTAAGTCTTAAAAATAGTGTTAAATATATTTAAAAATGACCTGAGTATCGCGCAAAAGGAGGCTCTTAAAATTGAAGTTACGATTATATTTGCAAGGAATTGTGTTTATATTAAAACATCAATATTATTGTTAATAAAAAAAAGAGAATATTTCAAATAAAAAATGAAGCTGAAACATCGGATAGTTCCTAAGAGTAGCAAATGATAAAGTAGCACAAGACCATTTCAAGTAATAGAAGTCTCACAAGCCAGCCTTATAAACACGATCCTGACAATCCTCGTGCTTGACGCCACATCACATGGTTATCACGTAAACGTCTCTCGCGCTCTTGCCGACGACAGAGCAAAGACCATCTCGCGGACGCGACCACCTCTCGTTCATTTTTCGTCACGGCAAAAAGAACAGCCGGTGCGAACATCACATTCCGTTTAATGACGAGGACTAAGATTTGTTCGAAATCTGTTTCTGTGTGAGACAATATTCGGCAATATTGCGAGACTGGAGGTCGACGAACGAACGAAAGAACGAAACAAGCCACAACCAATTCGTGGCATTGCCATTTTGTCGGTTTATCAATCTGGCGTGGTTACACCATGGACCATGGATGTTTCGCGAGTTCATTAACATTGCCGCGAGAAAGATGGGACCAAGCAATGTGTGTGATATGTTGGTAGGGACCAAGAATATTCGGGAGCTTAAGAATCAGCAGTAGCTTTTTATCTGGATGTGGGTAAATCTGCAGGTATACACGTTGTTTTTCGTTCAATAATGTTAAATAGGGAAAATCTCGATTGAAATCTTCAAGAAATAAATAATAAATTTTCTATAAAAAAGGTGAATATGTGAAATGGTATTAGATGTAAAATTACTTTTTTCAAGGAAAAGTTGATTCAAAAGTTTCTATTTCGTTCGATTTATCTGTAGAAACATAAATATGCAACAATGTCTCTTTTTCTAAATAAAAAAAAAAGCGTGAACTGTAATTTCAATTGATCTAGTTAGACATTGAAGCTGTTTTCTAAAATCCTCATCGAAGCTTTTGTTTAATTTTATCTGGCTTTCTCCACTTAGAGAAAAATTAATCTGATTAATCTGAAAGAATTCCAGCGAGTTCAAATTCCGATTTATAGTTTCAAAAATATGCTTTCATTATTGGGAATATTTAGGGTTTTACTTGATACGCACGCTCGCAAATATTATTTGTTTTTGTTTAATATTTGATAAACAACAAAGATGCAATAATTTTATAAGCGCTGCGTGCGTCAAATGAAAGATATCCTTAATATCAAGAACTGAACGAAATAAATTTCAATTTCTGTATGACGTCAGCAGCGCAGACCTGATACTGCGTATTTCGTATTCGCCGTGGCAACACGCCCGATGTGCTATTTTTAAATGAGCATCGGCGGCTTCCCCTAATTGTATCGATTATTTCAAGGAAACTCGAACACGTCAGAAAGACGAAATTATTTTTACCAAGCGTTACTTTCTCCGACGAGGACTTTATTTATTCGTGCGATTGATGTTAATAATAATTGTATAAATATCTGATCGACTTTACATAAATCTGATCTAATTGTCTCACTGGCTTCTTTCAGGTTCACTCATACAACTCGTAGATAAACCGCGTGGTGCGCGAAGTAGATTGAGCGCTACTTTTGGCGGCAAAGCCGCGAGCGACAGGGAGGCTGTTAGACAGTGTTTTCTTTTCTCGAATCATCTGTTGCTCACAACGCGACAGTCCGATGATGACGGCCGTTTAAATTTGGTCGCACAGATTGGCAAGATACCTCTCTCCGATGCGGTGCTGATTGAAGATCCGAGTGACCAGGGCGCCATAGATGATGATGGTATGATTAATTAACGAATTAATGACTTGATTTGCTTTCTTTGAGATCTTTTTAAATCGGCAATATAGAAATGTTTAATTAGAAACTGATAATATGTTATCAATGTAAGGGAGAGTAGAGTAATGGCGAATACCTAAGCAGAAAATGATATAAAACAAAAGCCAAATAAGAAATAAGTTTTTTAATTGCCTATAATTATACACCAACTATTTGTTTAATTATGTCTATTGTCATTTTTTATTAGATTTGAACATGAAATAAATTTTTAATAACAAAACAAACCTCTTGTTGTTTGTGATTTTCTGACTAGATATCATAGGGTAATCACGATCAGAGTACTAATCGGAGCTAATTATCAAAAGTTATTTTCTAAACATTATCTTTCTTTTTTTTCTTTTCTTTCTTTTTCCTCTTCTTTAGTACTTCGTTTATATCTTTTTTATTTGATTACTCTCTTCAAAATTTTTCATGATTTTTTTATGATGTTTATGATTTACTCGATTGAAAGCACGTTTCTTTTACCTTCTGACAAATAAAATTTAACTGAATTTTTATTTACAATTTGCGTAAGTAAGGTCAAGACCGTGCGCTTTACTGAGTCATTTACATAACAGAAATTTGTGTGAAAATGAAAAGGAACTAATGGCGATCGTTTAGGATTGTCTCATCCACTCGTTCGTCATTACCTCACGTCGTAAAAATAAGAAATTTTTAAAATAACAATTTTTTTAGAGGTTAAAACCAAAGCTACAGACAAAATATTAATCATAAAATATTGTTTGATTTGTGCTTATTTTATCTTTAGCGTAACTCATTTGTATCATTTACACAACAGCAACTGTATGCAGTTTATAATTTAGCAAAAGAATTACTCTTGAAAAAGAATCAAAAAGTTCAATTATATTTACCTTGAACTCTGTGTGGAATCTTATTCTGTCACTATTTATCTAGCACTTTGTGACAACTGAGCTGTCGGTGAAGAAATAAGATTTGTTTTCTTTCTCTAATACATTGATATTGCTGTATTTGCCATTATCCCGTGTTCGTCATTACTCCACGTGTTCGTTAATACTCTCCCGTTAAGATTATAAAAAAGAACATACACGCTACTAATTACTTAAATTATTTTGTACATAATGTAAGCTTTCTTCTCATTTTGTATGCTATATTTATATTCAATTTCATGTCTTTTTTTAATTTAAAGGTTGCGTATTGTAAGTTGTGTCAATGATAGAAAATTTATTCAGTGCTACCAAGTAGCAACTGTAAACTAATTTTAGGACTGTCAGTATGTTCGATGTCAAGCGGCATCAGTGAAAGTAGCGGAAGTGGTAGCGGCAGTGGAACTTCCCAGTTGCAGAATCGCGACTTCAAGATTATACTTGATATAAAATCCGGTGGACCGCAGGTGATCGTCCATCTCGTGGCGCCTACCATGCAAGTAAGTTTACATTAAATTATACATAAAAAATTGTATTAAAACAGTCAATCTTGTCATTATATAAGATATTTATACACGGAAAGAATTATCTTATTAAAGTATCTAAAAATTTATTTAGACACAGAACTTTGAAAATAATTAGAATTGGGAATTAACGCGTTACTTGTAACGTCGTTATAATTACTTTTTTTCAATAATAAATAATGACGTTATATTTTCTTATTTATAACATTAACTCGATTACATTTTTTGTATAATGGTAACGAATATAATCGTGATTTTGTACACGTACAATATATGAAATGTGCTTAAACAAGTTTCAAAAGAAGAAAGTGTTGTTTGAGTAACCATACTATCATAACTATTATATGGATCTCATGTTGAATTGGTCAATTAGTGACCAAAACAATTTCCACTCTGAAAAAGAGATATTCAAAATTCGATAAAAAAATAACAGAAATTATATGACTCATTTCTTTTTTTGAGTACAACAGTAATAGTCATAAGTTTCTTCTCAACATCAGTAACGAGTGGCTATTCTTGTTTCTGTAAAAAACAGAAAAGAAACCGTTACTTGTTCGATGAATTATTTTTACAAAAGTAATTTTCCCTCTAAAAATAATTTTGTTGAACTATTAAAATTATATAGAACGTTTTAAGTATTACTAACAATGCTGCAAAAAGGTTTAATTCTAGCAATTAGTTTTTGAGCGTCCTACATAATCATTTTGATGTTTTAAATAAAATTATTTTTATGATACAAATTTAGGTCGATAAGAATAAATCTAATTAAACAGAAATATTATTTAGTCAAAGTCGATCTTAGTGTTTAAATATTTCTGTGTGAATTTATGAGGCATACATATCTAGTTCTGCAAATCACGCGAAATCTTTTTCGGTATTGAAACACTATCATGAGCAGAATCAGTAACTATCATATTAACACTTATTAAATTTGTTAAGTACTATAGAAGTTCTACATCTATCGCAATGGCGCAGGCAGCACAAAAGACCGCGTGGTTATTCATATATTAGTGTCTCACAAGCCTTTATTAATAATAATACAATAATGTCACAAAATAGTTATAATAACAGAAAGCATACAAAGTGGGAACGTAATGTAACAAAAAAGGCAGGAACATAACGTCCATTAAAGAAGACAGAGAGAAGTTAATACGTAAGCGAATAAGTAAAACATAGAGCAAGCAGAAGTTAGAAAGCGTGTTGCAATAAGAGAACAGTTCATTGGTTCGCGGATATTTGGAACGCTTAAAAGTACGCTGAACATTCTCAACACTTTCCCTGTTCGAGTGCTTTTATGTGTCTACACATACCTATTACATTTAACGTGATGAATTTTTCTTTTGGGAGAGCATTAGTAAGGAAATCTGCATATTCATCAGCATACTTCATCAGCTCTTCCGATATTTTAAGCACAATTCGCCTTGAATAAGTTTTTCTCTAATAAAATGAAAGTGTATATCTATATGTTTAATTCTTTGGTGAAATTCTGAGTTCTTAACTAGCTTTATCGTGCTTTGATTATCAATCAATAGATCAGTCATTGCCTTATTGCTAGAATTACGAGTATCTTAGAAGTCTTTGGAGACCAATTTTCTCTACTCGTTAAACTTGCCGTTACATATTCGGCTTCAGTCGTACTCAAGGAAACCAATTTTTGTCGTTGTGAACACCAAGAAATGGGACAATTTGAGAGCATAAAAATATATCCCGATATACAATAGAACGTCGGGTGATTAGATCCCCAGCATAATCTGTATCCGAGTAAGCGAGTAGGTCTGCCTTTACATTAGTTTTTCTATAACTAATCCCTAGTTCAGTAGTTCCAACAAGATATCTGAATATGCGTTTAACAGCGCTCCAATGTGCTTGAGTATAGTATGTGAAATAATGGCTGTAAATAACGTTTACGGCGAATGCTATATCTGGATGTGTCAATCGTGACAGAAACATCAAAGAGCCGATTGCCTCACGATAGGGATACTCTTTGTTTCCGGTATCTTTGTCATTCATAATTGAGGCAATTGCATGAAGATTTATTGGCACACTGATAGGTTTCGCTCCTCTCATATTAAAACGAATAAGAATACGTTCAATGTAGTTCTTCTGATGTATGAAAATACAATTCTCCTTATCATACTCAATTTGAATCCCAATAAATGTCAATAAATATTTTTGGACTGCATAAAGTAATGTCGATACTTTACTTTAAGTGCCCTCACAACTTCATTGAGCGCATTCTCTGTTTCCGCAAATATCATCGATATTTGTTGTTCCACATCCCCTTGACTTGGCATATAGTTCCATCACCTATTGGAACAGAATCACCATTTACTTCTTGAAAATCGTGGAATCAGTCACGACGGAAAGATATATGTTTTGATGCTCCACTGTCGAGCGTCCAAGAGTCTTTTGGATCAATCCTTGTATCATTTGTCTCTGCTATAAATGCGCCATGATTTTAATCTTGTCTTTGTTGTTTATGAGTTGTAGAGTTTTGAGATCTAATTCTCTTTCGGCAATGTTTTTAAAACGTGACTTTTCTTATGACAGTAGAAACATTCTATGTCTTTTCTCTTGTCATCGAATCGTTTGGGATTATCCTTTTTATCGTGGGATTTTTGCGGCTTGCTTATGTTTATGGCTGCTCTCGTTGCATTATCCACCGCTGTCATCCAACTCTATTCCTTCAAGAGACGCGTCGTCACATTTTTTAGAGTTTACTGGTTTGCATTCACGCTATCCCAAGCGGTTACAAATGCATTATACTTGGATGGTAAACTATCAAGAATTTTAGCCATAATAGTTATGTCTGAAATATTTTATTTCAGATCTGTCAATTGTCTGGCCATATTCTCTACTTTTGCACCATGCTTTGCGATATCATCCGCCAACATCCTATAATTGTGGAATTTGATCATCAAGATTAATTTACTAGACTCACTGTATTGTTCATGTAAAACGGTGAGTTTCTTCTACATATCGTTTGACGACTTACAGATTAGGAGATGCTCAAATTGTCCAGGATCCATCGAAGACGACAGAATGATCGTAGCCTTTTTGCATCTTTTTTCGTCCAAATTTTCTTTGCCGCTTCTTCCGTTGGCATTGGTTCGGTGTCAGTTACTATGTCCAGGATATTGTTTGCTATAAATATCGCATTCATCTGAAATTTCCATACTTGAAAATTTGCACCGCTAAATTTTGTGACATTCTTGAGATTTATGAATTCATCTTTGTCTCCTTTATAATAATGAGCGTCAGAGAGAAAACAAGGAAACACAGTCTTGTATCACGCATTGAATTTCTGCACGTGTCCATAATCTGTGATTGTGTTTTAAATATGGAAGTTCGTCTATCGCAATGGCGCAGGCAGCATACAAAAGACCGCGTGGTTATTCATATATTAGCATCTCACTTTATTAATAATAATATAGTAATGTCAAAAATAATTATAATAATGGAAAGCGTACAAAAACAGGAACGTAACGTAACAAAAAAGGCGGAAATATAACGTCCATCAAAGAAGGGAAGAAGAGAGAAATTAGCGTTTTCTACTGGAAAAACTGGTGCGCACTGAGTGCAATTGTGTTGTTCCACTGTGACATCTAATTCAGTGTTTAATGTTCCATTGATAAAACTTGTATTGAGTTTAACTTTTGCTCCACTGTCTTCGAAGTCAATAGAGACCAGTGCAGGTTGAAATTGAGGTTGCGTTTGTGCTAAGGTATAAGATATTATGTTATAATATGATATTATATTATTATATAATTAATATTATAACAATTACATTGTTTAGTTTCAATATTTCTAATAATATGCAATGACATTTTGAGTTTAAAATTCTTGAAATTGAAAATGTAAAAATTTAATTTAAAAAATGTTTTAAAATAATAAATGAATCAGAATATTGTAAAATAAGTAATTTAAGTTTGAATATATAATAGTTAATATATTTTTTTAAGAGTGTTATAAAATGGATGTCAATAAAATGGATATCTAGTTATATGTTCCATTGAACTGCACTAAACCTGCATTATTACTACATTAGTGCAGTTTTTATTTAAACTTAGCACAGCGCTAGTACGCATCAGTTTTTCTAGTGGGAAAACGCTATAAAGATGTAAGTGAATAAGTAAAATAACAAAACTCAATCAACGGGCGAAGTAAGAGTCAACCACATTTTTTAATTTTTACATAAAATTATATATTATATTAAACGCGATGAAACATCACGGGAAAAAATAAAACTATAAACTAATACATTACAAGTAACAAGTTTCGGCTACCAGTTTGAGCCCTCTTCAGACATTAGTACAATGAAAAGTAACAGAACAAATTCAATTGTCGCAAGTATTCGTATAATCCGAATAATCACAGTTCGGGTGAGTCTTGATCTCGAAACATAATTTCCGTATGGTTGAACAGTCAAAAGTATTAAAATTGTCATTGTTGAAGTTCTAGTTAATAAAACGGATAAATTAAAAACAAAAAACGTAACGGACAAAT